CACACACACACACACACACACACACATAGGGTCTATCCAGACATTGTATGGATGAAATGGCATACGGGATGAAAACGACTCGGTTCGAGTATAACTTTGCATGTGTTTCGATAAAACCGTAACGGACATAGAACTCTATGGCAAATTGCAAGGTATGCTCAAGTGAAGTGTATCAGTTTGGAGAAATAAGAACAGTTTCGGCACTAACTGTCAACTTCAATGGATACTTTTCGGGGACACATGCATATATCTGAGGCGTCCGCGGTGGGGCGTCATTTGGTGATTGCATTATGAAATATGCGGGTTAACACAGGTCATCATTCCAGTGGTTTTGTCCCCTTTGACGCTATCGTAGACGCCGGCACTGACGCCTCGTTGCTACGCGATAATAGAAAATATACTTACAGACGACCTAGAGTGGGGAGAGGACAGGCGGACAAGGAGCGACCATGAGGTATCTTCAGACATTCACTGTTTACGTGAGATTTTGACACTGCATAATGCTATCATTGGGGAGCTACACGCAATAGACAGGGGGAGAAGACGGTCCAAGTCGCAACTTCATGGTTACTAGTGCGTCGACCTGGGATATTCAGTGAGCAGGATAATACAATTCGTGCACACAGGGGTGATGACATTCCGTTTTAACTTGCGCACCACTTACGTAACAATATCACGGACGGAACGTCTCGGCTATTCGCCAGATTTATACATGTGTTCCAGAAAAGTAATCATTGAGATCAATCAGTACTCTCAGGGCTAATTATATTTTTCTGACGAACACACTGCATCCAATTTTCTTTCAAAAGTAGTGTGGTTTATAAAATGCAGGCACGAAGGTTACAGAAAGTTCCACATGCGCACCTAAATGTACTCTTAAGGATTACCAGACAAGAGCCAAAAGATGAATTAGTTCGGTTGGTTATTCCATCACCTCAGTCGAGTCGATGGCTGAATTTTATTCGTTTAGCTAGACAGTAAATGGGACTCGATAGCATAGCAAATAGGAATTGAGTCATAGGAAGCGATAGCAGTTGGGACAACTCACTTCGGATCTGGGTGACCATAGTCGGACAACAGAGTCAATGCCCGAACTGGCTAGGAGGCATACAGAGGGGTGAGGCTGAACGCAGTTCACGGTTGATCCATCTGCCTCCAGGATTCGAACAGTGTTCGTAGTCTCGCGATCCCAGACAAAGAAGGAACCGCAATCAGAACCACCAACGATGTATTGGCCATTACTAAAAAGATAAGGGAATGTGGAAGCAATTACAACCGCATGATCCTAGCAGAGGCTATGTTAACACAAAAAGATATCGAACAAGAGCCCGAGCAAGCCAATACCAGTACTGCTGTGAAGATGCCGACGGAAGGCATAGAGTAAAAACCGGAAAGCGAGAAAAATTCAGGGCATAAACCCGAATTCTCAGGAGAAGAGAGTGTCATACGATCGCAGTGGCAGCAAAAATAATGTCATATATAACAAGTGTAATTGTTCCCTTTGGAAGAACTACCTGTAGAGAGCAAGGAGGGACAGTGGACGAAAAAGGGAATTTTTTTAGAAAAACTAAGGCTACTCTTAACCTACCGTTCTACCCGATCAGGTTGCATTATTTATTGTACAGTGTGAAAAGGGCCTGCAAGCTTCGAACCACAGCAGCCCCATTTAGAGAGTTTCAGTTCCACTCTGGCTTGAAAAGCTTTCTACAGTGGTTATCAGTAGATATCTCGTGTGTCCACAATTTCCAATGCGAATTCTTCGATTCATTAAAATATCATCTAGTTTAGTAAGAATAAGCTCAAAAGAGCGGCAGCAAAACATTACCTATTATTAATGGCTCATACTCATTGCGAAATTTAAAGAATGAGATACGATAGCCCTATTACTCCAATCCATCCCTCAAGTGAGCATCGAGGGATCGGTTGCCGACTGAGAGCCCCGAACGGATGGTCTCTTTGAAGTACACCGAAATCTTCACAATAAAGATTAGATGGGATTCAAAGCCCATTGTTTGGTACCTATTAAATACTTCGTGGAGGTCACTGATTAGTTAGATAAAAGAATCACACCATCCATCGTTGGTCAGGTTGTTCTGAAGTGCCTCGTTAACTGGTTTCACGGTATTTTTTTTACCGAAGTTTCCGACATTTCCGGTTGGCAGTTATGAGCAGGATTTCGGTTAGGCTGCAACTATACGCAGATGAGGGTGCGAAGAGATCATCGAAGCCCTGCAATATTGAGCGCCCTATTGTGGACCCATATACAAACATATTCCAGCAGAGGAATATGTATAGGAATCTTATCAGTTCTGTACTTTTGAAATGACGTTCATACAGTCTACCAATTGCGCAGCTTCGTGTATGATTTACCGGTGGCATGAAATCTTCAATTCCCATACGACCCAGTCATCAATTGGTTGAAGCACTGAAGTGATATTAAGTGGTAGCAAGAGTGGCGGAGCTATGCTGGCAGTCAGGGGGCGAGATAGCTCAGTGGTTAGAGCTCGAAGGTCAGCGGTTGGAACACGACTTGTTCATCTTGACTTCCCCAGCCTAGGGTTAGGCAACCTGACAGCATTCCATTCCTCGTGCTTCCTTCGGGTGGCATGGTAATTAGACACTGAAAGGGTGTTACAGCAGAACGATTGTCCTTATTATCTAGTAGTCAACCTACGAAGCAGCTTTGAGCACTAACTGCTCATTTCCAAACAGCGTTGGTTCGTTCAACCCAATCACATTAATTCAACTGTTTGTCCAAGTCAATATGAGGTGGAACAGGACATACAGGAATCCCAGATTAAGTCAGAAGGATCAGTGCAGTCACCATATCGCGCGTAACCAAGTGTTCGAAAGACTAAACCAGCAAGTACGCAAAACAGTTCTTTGGTTCATGATACCCATGGATAGTCTTTACAACTTGTAACAGGCAACCCTAGACGTAGTGTTGCGTATCAGAGGAGTGGAGCCGATAAATTTTGAATCCATCATGAGGATTTTTACCGAGATTTGCGTCAAAAACCGGTCCATCAGTCGAGCGGAGGGTCTTTTCGGAGTCTTGAGAACCAACAGAAGAGATTAGCCAAAAGCTACTAGGGAACAAATATATGGCAAAAACTTATATGGGAGCCGCGGGGTTTCGTCGTACGAACGTGTCTGAATTCGTTCGGTAAAATGAGTTTTATGCATCTGGAGGCTGTGTGGTCAGACCTCGAAATGGAGGTAACTATTAACTTGCGGAGATCTAGACCATTGAACCTTACTAAACGTTCCGGGATTTCGACAAACATGTATTTGGTATATTCCCGATTCCGAGGTGAGACAACGGATAAATGGACTACGGTTACGAGCACGACCAAACCAATTGCCATAATCTAGCCAGTCCTTGCATGACAAACGAAGCCTGTGAACTGGTCACTAGAATACCGTGATGGTTGATCACGCAATGCGGATGAGACAATCAAAGGTAAACCTGATACTGGATTGTGCAGTGTACCCCAGTTCAGCTTGCAGATATAAATGGATACAAACTGATTTCGCCTAATAAAAAATTCGGAACAAGTAGACGGGGATTGTGGTTCAATATTTTAGGCAATGAATCACAACAGAGTGTTTATTCAGCAGACCCAACCAGAGATATGAAATTTGTCCGATTCAGACCTTCGTCAGGAACAACTCGGAATTTTGGTTTTGGGAATGAAATCCAGTGAAGAAATGAAAAGATAGACCTGGGTTTCGGAATTCAAAATGGGAATCTCATATGCCAAACCCAGGATTTGTACCTAACCACGTTAGAAGAGTTGAAGTAGAAACGGATGATACGTTACTGGCATCAATCAAAACGGCATACATTTACTTAGTAAAGAACAAAGGGATGCTCTCCGGACACTTAAAAATCAAACAGCCACAGTGATTTCCTGACCCGACAAAGTTACAGGGGTGGCAACCGCGGTGATACATCGAATACCAACAACAAAACTGACACGTTTGGAAGCGCTCAAAGAAGAAAAAACGTTTGTTTCCATAAAGGAAAATAGTAACAACGTTGCTGAAAACTCTTCGACAGTCCATGATCGGTTTCGCCATTCCTGAGGCTCGTCAGGTAGGAGCAGTCACCGAGTTCCCGACAGCGTTTGTCTTCAGTGTAGCTTGGTATCCCACAGTCAACAAGTGCAAGTATCCCGAGAATGTATAGTGCAGGAGAGATTTACAAAAATGATATTTGCTGCATTTGATTGCGTGAATCCTACCATCACTCCACTTCATGGTGGATAACTAAAATCTTTGAACCTAATCTCGTCCAGGCGAGATACTTCAATTTGTTGGAGTAATAGAAAACCTGGGTTTTTCAGGGAAAAACGTTTCTGAGGAAATATGCTCCAACGTAAATTGGTTTGTTTTAACGGAGGGTTCAAGCGAATCCAGCTAGATCTCTCATTTATGGTATTCTTCAACTGAACGTGTCGCACAAAAGCTGCCTCGTGTTTCAGATGGTACGGCATTCAAGATATCACAATAGTGTGTTCCAACAAGACATTATGTTCTTGTTCTGTGCGTGTCTGCTGTTCACTAGGATGAACCTATTTGGGACTTAAATTTCTAAAGGATGATCGAGTTGAACGAATACTCCCCGGTAAGAACTGTTCCAGTGCGCCACAAATATGTGTCATGTTGAAAAGACCTGCACCAACGCAGTGAAGGCTTAGCTAGGAGCCCACCACTCGCTTTTACGGCGCTACCAGAACATGGAAGTTTGGGATAAACAATTCGTCAGCTTTTTCTTTGCCACCAGTACGCCAAGGAGATTAAACCGTACGGGATTTAGATTGATCAAGTGGTTGAAAATTTCAATACGCCTCTACGAACATCAAGTTCATCCATGAGTCAGAACAATACAACACTATCTGATTCCGGGAAGTTTCAGTGGTATGCCGCAATAACAATCACTGCCTGGGACCTGGGGAGTCTGAACAATTTTTCGAGCCAACGGCCAATGGCCTAGATTGAGGCTCTCCGTACATGATTGCCAGAGTGACCTGAGAGACACTGGCCGGCGTGAGTGACCGAGCGTTTGAACGCATTCTGTAACTAACTGAAGGATACCGCCCTTGGCCTTCGTTGTTTTGGACGTCCCATACATCACATAATGCGGTACTGCGGTTGAGAATGGTTAGTCCAAAGAAATTAACTAGGTGAGCTGACAGTGACTATGTATGGTTGCTTCAAGAAATTCAGTGATGTTCATATCCGACACACTACTGCAGACAGCGTACATCAGACAGAGAACTGGTCGCGCATTTCCGGATCCGCTTGCTCGATCGTTTATCAGTATCCTCTAACAATACTTTGATGATTTCGGCTGTGTTCAGCAAGCAACCACATAATCTTATAGAAACCGTCCAGCCTATTACAGCACAATATATAAATGCCAAACTAAGTCCTTGATTGAGCGACGTACCATATCATTATAGGATAAAATAGAATAGAATGATTATCAAACCCGGATAAATATTTGGAACAGAGAATCTCAAAAGGTTTAATTTCCTGCTTGACTGATTCGCCAATCAGAATATTCAGCTGACTATCGTTTCTTGTTGAGAGTTGTCCATCACAGACCCAGTTGATGCTATGGTCCGAGTTTTGGAGTGAATTTTACCCCCTAGACAGGTTCCGCATTGTTTGTTATTTTGCGTTGGGAGCAAGACCATAAGATCATATTCAGCTCACACATCCAGTTGACTGATGGTCTGAGAACTGAATGCTCCTTTTTTGGTGAGGGACTAGTTACCCCTGACTAAAGCTGAATTACATCTCATACAAGCAGTCGAATGGTGGTCGTAAAACACGCTTCCGAATGTGCAGGTTGTAGGAGCCTAGTGACCAAACCGAACTCAGCTCCTTAAGTAAAGAGATAGGATCCCGCTCAGTTTGTCCATCTAGTGGACGCAATTAAAAGTCTCTGAGCGCTTTTTAACCGTCGAGCTGAGCAGACCTTTGTTGCCCGTGCAACACTGATTCAACATAAATGGGAAAAAAGTGGCTGTAATTGGTTTGCGGTGGCTTTTTTCTCTGGACAGTGTGCACGAAGGAGGTAAACAGCGTTAGTATGTTTCTACCTCAAACCTCTGATTCTCCGCAGGTTTATCTGGACAGTGTAGGATGAGGTATGCTAGCCCTCCACGTAACTACGATTAGAAGCAGTGATTACTTTTGACAATAATCAGACAGAACTTCCTATGAGAAGCGAATAGGCCATATAAGACATTGCGTGTCGTGTCCGGTTGAGCGCCCTTCCTTATTGAAAATATTTCCTCCAGGGAGGTTATCGCATGTTGGGAGGTTGCGTGTTGGGGGGGACTGATCCCCAATGAGGGTGATCACTCGGATAAACTACATCCTAATTTCTAGCCAACTGCAGTTTAGCTAGATTGAACCTTCAATAACACATAACTGACTAGACCAGACGAGTGGAACAAAAAAGCTCCATTTACCCTCCAAAGAAATTGGCTTCCTTGATGTCTGTAATGGCATTGCAGTGTCCGAGAAATCGTTTGGTGTAGTCCGACGCTTGTGAGCGCCATGTGGACTCGGTTGTGTTGTCATATTTGCAACGTTGAGTGACACATACTATACAGGAGCATGTGGGGAGGGAGTTGATGTTATCATCGTCACGATCTGCATCACGGGAACGGAACCACAGAGGAGTCCAACTGTCGTCCACATCGCGACGTATCTGAACATCCGGGAGATCCGGTTCCGATCCAAGGATGGCCTCAGACGGTGAGTTCGATTCGCCGTCTGGCATAGCTGTACGCTGGTCACGATTGACAGTTTGGTCAAGTGAATCTGGCGTACGGGACCGAGAAACTCCTAAAAATAGAGACAAAGTAACAAGTTTAGTGAGTACATGAGTGTACGTCAGCGTAGCCAAGTTCACAAGAAGAATAAGGTAAAAGAAAAATCGAACCAACCCTGAATGCAATCATTTAGATAGTTATACTGTTCGTCCTTGTAAATATACGTTCAACTGGCATACAGCAATTCAATCAATTTATCAGCTATAAACCGTGTACCATAGGCACAATGGTTCCAGCTGCTTCAGTTTCGACCAGCAGAAAGTGAGAGAGTGCGGGAGATACTGCCCAGCCTTGGAGGCAATAACTTTGATGCGTGGAGCGTCACTGACTACGCGATTAGGCCGTTTAGGCCAGGATCACCAAACATTGGTGAGTTGAGTCCTGGGATCCCCATACAGAGGGGCGGCAGTTGTCAACCCGACTAAGTTTACGGAGTTTACAGCAGCAGTCAAGACGGGTTCGAACCAAAAATCTTCTGGTCAATAGGTTCGCACCCTAACCACTGAACTACCTGGAACTCAGTGTCATCCGTCAATTCCTGTGTCTCTGTATGATAACGCATTTTCCCCACGTAATGTCAGACAATCATGACTGCCTGGAACTGCCCAGGACGAGCATCCACAAGGTAAAAAACTGTCCGTTTGTGTGGGAAGTTCTCCCCAAAAGGGATTTGGTATTCGCTCTCCTCGATGCAGTTCTACTTATAAGCCTGCTGGAAGCTTTTCGACAACCTACCGGTTTCACCCCTTTCGAATGAGTTCATGACACCCACTAATGGCTCCACGATTATTTACGCCACTGTTCGATCGTCTGTGGACTTTGAAGACTTCTTCATCACAGACTTGGCTCACCAAAACCAGCTGATTGTTAAGGTAAGTAAGCATAGATTGGTGTTGATCGCTGCGGCATTTGAGAAGTGAGGGTCAAGTCATCCTCACTCTTCTTTCCTCGTTAGCGGAAGCTAAACTGGCAGATTTGTACAAATAGTTTCTTGCTGCTGCTATCGTCAAGTTGCACATATGATAATGAAAGGGTGCTGCTGTAGGTCTAGGGCTCGGTAACAGTTACACGGCTGATGTGACTTGCGTGAGTTAAAAAAACGTCACCGAAAAATTTGGGAATCAGGTATCTTCTTAAAATTACATTCGAGAATTCGAGTGAGGTGAAATCGAAGTTTACTGTGATTCTACTTTGTTTGCAAGAAGAGGGAGTGTAAGCGAATGCGGGCCACAAATTGGACTGTTACTCACTGTACGTATGACCCCATAAAGCAAGGTACGGTTGAGATGTTCGCGAAGTACACTCAACTGCGAACTGATTTGATTTCAATGGGAGACTCAACTGAATACCCCGTTCACGGTTGATAAATCAATTTATCTCGCGAGTTGTGCACAATCTGGGTTTAAGTAGAACTTAAGGTTGACGAAAACTCTGGGACTGCACCTACCTGATGAGACTAAAGAAAGACGAGAACGGTCGTGAGCTTGTAGCGACCCAGTCACCCATATTCTTGACTGCTCAACTCACAGTCGCTCACTGGGTCGCGAGGCTTGTTTTTTTTCTCATACGCACAAACACGTCGCATTAAGCTGACTCATCGGACATCGATTGTCTGCACCGCCTAGTCAGCGTAGCGACCACTCATGTGCCGACGCGCCCACGCATACGCACTAGGACCTACATAAAGGGTAACCGAACCCAGTCAGGACACAGACGCGCGCGCGCAGGGAGCAAGGAGTCAGCCAACCACTCCAAGTCCACGGAGAATCATGGAACACGTGTAGCAGCCATACTGCGAAGAAGGGACTCTCATATACGATAAGTTCCCTTTTTGACTTGCTCCCATTTCGCATTGTATTCATTTTTATACGTGTCGCAACCATACAAAAACTTCTATTAGTGCACATGCACCTTCTGATTTGTATTATGGCTATCCCCACATGTACACTCACAAGCTGTCGAACGGTTTTCAACAAACGTATGAGTAGTGTGCTCCGTGAAGAAAGTCCAGATGTCTTCTACCTTTGTTGTTAGATTTTGGTTAAAGCACATCGTACGCCCTGGAGCGCCTGTCATGTATATCTAGTCAGCCCAACAATCAGATTATTCTCTTCAGATGACACATGTGGATCATGCGGATGACCGAAACATATAGGAAGAACTTTTCGAACAGATCGACCAAAGGCTCCCCATCGCAATCTAGAAGGGGTCCATGAGGTGAAAAAAGGGAACAGACGGCCTCAGTCTCCTCCAAAAGAGCATCACATCCACACTCCGCCCACTCTACTCCACTCCACTTCACAGCACTCATTCTCACTGAGGAACACTACCTATTTTGATGAGTGGAGCGACCACTAATACATTTAATGGGATCAAGGGTGAACTACGGTAACAAAGTGTGCGGAACACTAAAATTTACCATGTGGAGGGGTGGTACGTTGACTGTCGGGTTTGACACCATCTTCGTTCGCCTTCGTTTCACGAAACCGCATCCGCTGTTGGATCTTTTCGAGCTCCTTCTCTTTCGCGCGAACTTCTAGATCCAATAATTGGAAAAACTTGTGTATGGCAGACTCTTCTTTGACGTGATCCCTAGCTGTTACTGGACTGTTACTGGCTGCTTTGGTGCCGTTCAAAGTTTGAACTGGTGGAAATGTGTTGGACTCGGCTTCGGTGACAGGTGCCTTCGGGGACGCGGGTGATTCAATCAAATAGGAGTACTGTTCTTTGACCTTGTTGAGTGTGAAACGCGCCTCACGTACCCAATCCAAACGCAGCAAACAACGGACTGAAAGCAGTAGAGCTGTCACACGAATACAGTCACGCGACCGACGACAAGTGGCCGGTGTTTGGGTATCGTGAGCAACATCAGCATTTTCCAGACCTGCACTTTCCTCAGTCAGGCTCAGAGTGGTATGACAGTCTAACAGTGCACTGTATACATCGCCATTCCTAAAACATTGGATGAAGAAGGTACGATAGATTTATAAGCGCCAAATAAACTTTAACATCAAGCTAGTGTCACTGATAGGACAAACAGTATTCTATGCAATGGAAAACCAACTGCTCAGGAACATCATAAACGAGAGATTAAGCTGGGTTCTAGATGAGTCTCGCGTCAAAACCAAATTGGTATGCAGATGAGTGAGTCGAAATTGAGGTACAGTATGTAACCATCCCTCCGGTCTCACCGTAACATTATCCGTTGGCTTCCACACAAAAGTTAACAGAGAGAATGATATATGATGAAGTCAAGCTGTGACAGCCTCACAACAGCCTGTAGATATGCGCAGTAGTAATACCATTATTACGACTAATAATAAACTAGTGACAATAATACTGACAGCATTCCAATTGACGTGACCCCTTCAAGTCAACCATTCTCGTTAGGTGCCGTCGAATTCCTGTTACGACCCTCGTAGAATGAGTTCTTGCCTTTCTGGTAGCAAGAGACGACAAATGTGGCCCCAGTTCAACAGACAGTTTCTTGGCTAAACTCGAAGCGCGAACGTATTCTCGCCTGAGTCATTTCCGTCTAACAACCGTCTCAAAAGAAACGGTCCTCGCGATTCCCAGTATTTTGCATTGCAATTAGAGCATTCTTTGTTAATGAGAAGCTTCCATTTGGAAACGCCTCAAGGACATCGTTTTGCGAGTCAGTTTTTTCGCAATATTTATTCTCGTGCTAGCAAACCTGCCGAATAACCGAGCTGAAAACACTATTGAATCTAATTTGACATTATCCCCCCTTCATTTGTTTACTCCGCCCAGGTACTTTTAATCTCCACTTGTTTTGCTCATCCGTACCCACCATTCACGAAGACATCCCCGTCCGACACCGATATATTAGCATGTGTATGCGTGTGGACGTGCGCAGCTGACCCACTTACCCATGCATGTTCGTGCACCGTCTGCTGAGACTGTCCTGGACTGTTCTGTCATGCTTTCCGTGATTGCATCGCCAATCGGAATCACGAGACTCAACTCGGAAGGGACCACCAAATCCCAGACTGCTGTGACAACCCTCTGCTTGCCGTTGTCTGGTGTGTGGACATGAACACTACACTGTGTCGGTCAGTGACAGAGTTGAGCACTTGCTAACGCCACGAACGTGGACAATTGAGGTTTGTTGTATAAGTTCGCTCACTTTTGTGTAAATACTACGGCAAACTTTAGAACCCAATTCTTCCTTTGGATATTCTGGATCATCAAAACTCTAAGTTCAATAAATTTATCAGCTATAAACCCTGTACCATAGGTACATTGGTTCCAGTTGCTACAGTATCGATCATCGGAAAGTGGGGGAGTGCGGGAGATATGGCCAAGACTTGGGGGCTACAGCTATCGCACCGAAGGCGATTGTTTTGATATGTGAGCGCCACTGACTGCGTGACTGGGCCATTTCTGATAGCGCTATCAACCATTAGTGAGGGAGGCGATAGTTGTCGACCCGACTAAGTTTACAAGTTGGTGTTTTCATGCTTTGTTGCCAAGTCATACACTGTTAACCTCTCGGTCGATTCCACTCAGCACAGGGCTGGGAGAAGAGACCTGTGAGGTGGACGATCTTCTGGCATAGGGAGTACATGTCTCAATCAGCGTAACCCACGAAGGGTGAGCAATCCATTTATCGCGGGAGAGTTCCTTCTTCCTAAGAACATCTGGCGTACCTGAGCATTGCTAATCCAATGTTCACACAAGACCTGACGAATGCTTCGGAGACACCGATGGTCCAACAGTGACATCTTCCGTATGTCCTCTGCGCGCAGGGGCCATTTTTCTGATCCATAAATCAGTATGGATCGCACCACCAGTGTAACCTCTCTTCTTGACAGGCAAACTGACGTCACTTCAGTACTATAGGTGTCGCAGGTTGGCAAAAGCCACCCCGGCCGAGAAGTAATCTCATCGCCAGCCAGTCCACCGCAGCTGCCCAGGTAAACAAATTCATCTACCACGTCGAGCGACTCGCCTTCAAGCATGGGGTGTGGGTTTGATCCTACGCAGTCTTGTAGCAACACTTTCCGTAACTGTAACCTCAGCACATGAAGTAACACTTTGTCCGGAGGCCAAGCGCTTTAAATAACCGAACACCCCATCGACTGGACTGATGGGTCACGTGCGGGCTATGGAGCGACTGGTCGGAACGTCAATCAATCATGATCAAGCATTTATAGTTAGTGTGACCCAGTGGAACATTTTGTGATAACCCTATGAATGCAGTCGTAAGAAGTTATGTCCAGTTACCATGTCTTTCGATATACAATAATGGGTAGAATAGGAAGTCAAAGAACGATATAGGAATTGCACCACCATCTGCAGAACACAACACACATTAAAGAGAAACGAGCAGGTGCTGAGTGTTTTACTTTTATCTGCGAGGTGGCTCAGTGGTTAGAGCGCGAATTCTCGCAGTATCCCAGCCCTCGTACTTCCTTCTAGTGGTATGGCAGTTTGGCAACAAAAGGGTGCTATAGCTGAGTGACCTTGACCTTATTGTGCCCACTGGAGACCAAAGTGGGACAAAATAAGCCATCATTACTGCCAGGTGGCTGGATGCATCTAAGGTTATCTGTAACCTGCGCTATAACTTCGTAGAATCGTGTCTCCTGTTGAAAAGAACAAGATCGCATGTCTAAGGGAAATAGGATAGATTGGCCGTGTGTGCACACACCGCTAGAAGTCACTGTTGAATGCGGTACCTAATTCAAAACAAAGATGGTAACCTGGAACAATGAACTAAGAGCCTGATAGTCTACAACAAGGTGGTTCGGAAAGGGAAATAGCAATTGGAGAATTATCAGTGGTTTCTTCGAATTGGAGAAAGCTTTGGTGATGTTACACAACGCAATATTTCCCGCGTTATTTTTGCTAATAACCATTTTTATTGCTCGTGGTTATTTTTAGGTTTATGTACAATCATATAGTGGTTGAAAGAAGACGTATCCACGGCACCGTTTCATTCTGGCTTCGTTTTGAGTCTAACTTCCAAGTGGGCAACACCCGAAATTGAGAAACAAGATGGGTGTTCCCCAATGACGCTTTTTTTTACCCAGGAACATTACGTTACAATGCACGTTAATCCACGGAAAACTGCTAGACTAAAACACAACGCATCTGTGTCAGCGATACCGTCTATACAGTGTGACTATCCAATTTTTCACTAAATCGATCAACCCCAATCAATCAGAGGACCACCACCAATGCCAGACCATTTCTTCGCTACTATCCCAATCTATGAGCAAGGAAAAGGTAGCAGATAGGACCAAAGTATCCCAAGCACATTGTTCATGGTTAAATAGCTGATTGGAACTGCATTAACCGGGTTGCCATTCTCCCCAGAGCCCATCAGTGGTCTACATAAAAGTGGAACGTCATATTTTTAAACTTTTCACATATCTAAAGCTCACAACTACATTAAATAGTCGATCAAAAGTTTCATTTTCCAAGGAACTAATGAAGTACTTACTCGTTTGGTGTCGATCAAAAGTTTCATTTTCCAAGGAACGAATGAAGTTCTCGTTTGGGATATTTTTCTCAGGTTTACCTGATATGGTTACGAATATCAAGCAATTTGAAAAAATTGGACTGCGTCCCTAAAGTGTAAAGTTCTGCTACATAACTGTGGAGCCAGATTCAAACCTTGAGCTTGCATGACAGCCAGTTGTTGTGATTGATAATGATCGTAATCACAATCATGATAAATGCTTAGGTGTGACACTTCCGATGGATGGCTGCACTGGAACTCGAAGAATGCACGACGGCTGGAATACCTTCAGGTTTTCCTAGCTTAGACGACCCAAAAGGTGCTATCTTGAAATGGTAGTCAGGCTTGGGTGATGCAGTGATCCCACTGGCTACTAGAACTCGTTCTACAAGGTGCAACAATGCCAGGAAGTCCAAAAGGGAGCAGTCAGACCAAGAGGGGCAAGACCCCGTACTAGCAGTAATCGAGTAATCGTATTGGTAGTAATCGTAATCGTTACGAGACAGTCTGGAGGTAATGTCCTCTGCGATAGGAGTCTGAAGGTAGTAGGGCGTTTCCTCCGGGCGAAAAGTTTGTCCATATTTATGGAAGCAGCGACGGGTTAGAGAAGGTCGGCCACAAAAACCACATACTCCGATTGCCCAATGGTTGACAGTGGCTGCCGCCGCATTATTCAATACTGTCGAAATACTTTCAAAACCAGAGTCCGGTGCTACTCAAAGGTCACTTACTGCGCACAGCCGCATCAAGAGTGAGAGAGTGATGCCTTACTCCCTGCGAATTCTAGTTAGGCCAAACCTCTGCAGCCGAGCAGGTCAGATTATTAAGTCATCGGATCAGGCCAACGTTCCCAAAGAGAACCCTACTTCCCGCTGCCCCGAGGGTCAGATTTGAGTCAGGGACAAAGGCAGGGTCTCAGAACAAAACCCTACATCCCCCTGCCTTGTGGTTCAGACATACGAGTCAAAGGCTCAAGTTGGGGTACCTCAAACAAATCCCCTTCCTCGTCCTGGGCAACTGCAAGCCATTACCAGCAAACTCAGCTACGTTGGTCATTGCGGTCTTCCTGGACGAGACGAGACATATCAGTGGATAGATGGATTGTCGGACATGTTCCAGTTTCGCCATCAATTGCCCTTGTGCATCAAAGCTATTGCCTTCAATGCATAGCTCCCTTCCCAATCTCCGCAACTTAAAAGTCCGCTGACAACCATGTATTTACGCACCAATTGTATCAGCTACGACCTCCAGTGCACAGGTATCTACCCCACTTTCCCAAATCATTGGTGAACAAAACTGTGGTAGCTAGAACCAATGTATGGCAAGAACGCGGTATTTACAGCTGATGACGATGAGGAGGATGGGGACAGTAAAAAAGCAGCGATTAGATTTGAACTATGTTCAGTAGTTCAATGAGTTAGCCACCGAGCTGCCTCGAGTTTGAGTTTCATCGTTCCCGAGTTTCTGATAGACATTGTCCCCCAGATAAAAAAAGAGGCTTTCGCGAGGCGGCATCAGCTTATCTGTTACGAGTGTGTTCAAACTATTGTACGGGTCAGTGACCTACTTAATGCGAACAACAGGCACTGAAGCTACTGCATTTTGAGTAGCGATGTCTCCTAATGACTACTATGGGCTGGTGGGAACGTGAGGTCAGCGACGCCAACGTATGCGGAAGTCTCTAGGAAAATAAATAAAACAGGCAGATGAGCTGCATGTATGCAATACTAGAATGCAGCATACGAACTTTCTCGAAGAACCCTTATCAGTCAACCGTGGGCCGGGTGGAAGCATATTAAGTGAGGTTAGTTAACCTGGGGAAGAAAGGTGATGATTGTCGCGTCGCCAACTGTCATCTCTCTGGAAGGGGACGCCGAGAGGGCACATATCAACGGTTAGGTAAACCGAGATGCGGTGGATCTACTCAGCCAAAGGTATCCGTGCTTTCGAGCTATTGCATTTAACACATCGCCACCTCCTTCAGGTCCCCAGGCACGAGAAATTTTCTGTAACGATACTATTATCATTATCAGATCCAAAACCAAAGGATGTCCGTAACCATCCTCAGCGCCTTACTTTGCTCACAAGTTCAACAAGATCGATGAACGAAATTTTGGAAGCTATAACTCGCGTACAAACGGTACATAGTTTGAGGGTGACTACGAAGAGACGTTAAGGTCACGAAACTCCTGTTGTGTCAGTACACCAGGGGTCGGGGTTTTAGGCAAAGTGGGTAGATGAAAAAGTCATCGACAGTTCTGCCACCAGTCAAGGTATCCAAAAATAAACGAAATCCTTGTACATTTTGCCGTCAGCTTGGTGTGTAGAAAGGTTCCCAGGACGAGCGCTTTGGAATTAGTGGCCGTTGCAAGTTTTACCTTATCCGCTCTGTTGGAAGCAGCGAACAGTGCGATGTCACCGCAAGACGACCAATGCAGTATGAAGGTATTTTCATATGTGAGCTTTAGCTTTGTATGCAGGTTCAGCTACTGCCATGATGCCCAGGAGATTCACCAGGGTTCTCAACCAAGGCCCTCGGCTCAAAAGTAAGACTTTTGAGGAACAAGCCAAACTTATTCCAAGCTCCAACCTGAATGTCCGGAAGACTGTTTGTCACTCCTCCACCAACTGACCAAACTGATAAAAGAAAATCTGTAGATGCTGCGTGAACATCCTCCAATGTAGATCAATAGGTTGCTGAGCTACGTAAATCATCGCACCATGACAAGTTGCAGTCTCTTTGCGCTTGGCCGCGCATGGAACCAAGGAAACTTCAGGGAGGGACGAGTCTTGCGGATTTGGAAATGTTGTGTGCAGAGTTATGTGGCACGTATTCTCTGCTATTGGCGGAGTTCAGGTGGAAGATGTCCAGTATGTGCACCCGTCTTGGGAAAACACACTTGGACAGTCCAGATTAACTTGGATTCGCCGCGGCTGTTCGCACAAAACAAAATATCGAATATCGTCGTGCAAGTTGGTGGGAAGAGTAAGCGTATGGCACAGCTACTGTTTCACCGGTGTTCAATATGTCAGGAGCACTATTGAGAAGAATTATTAGGTGGACTCTTAACAGTTTTTCGATGATCTTACCTGAAATACAGTGAGCTGTTATAGATGCAAAACTTTTGATTTGATGATAAATCAAGCAGGCTTACACTGAGGACATGCTAGGGGTGCATTGACCCAACTGAGGTAAGTACGAGGGCCGAGATACTGCCAGATTGCCTAGGCCTAGACGGCAACAGTGGTTAGGTTCGAACAATGAACCTTCCGCGCCTCAACCGCTGGGCTATTTCGAGCTCATAATACGTATCAGATATTCAAGGAATTTTCGGTTAAAAGCCCATTCCAACCGAGAATCTTAACTTGGTTCGCAATGTTCATGAAACACCCACCATTTGTAATTAGGAAGGAATGTTTCAAATGGCAATAGACTGGGTGGAAGTGGTATAGACAACCGTGTCAGTAGGGCGAGCAGTAGCAGAACCCAACGACGACAAAGTTCTTAACAAATTGGCACATTTCTGAAAAACCTTCATGGTTGAAGAGCAGACCCATTAATCCTCAATTTACACGGAACCAGATAGTCAATTTGGGCACCGATATCTCTCTAATTTTTCCTGGATGGTACGACACTGAAGACACACTGAGTCCATTACAGTTGTCTTTGACAGAAATCAAGATAGCACATTTTTTGTGCATTAAAAAAAAACATGAACTCCAAACAGTAAGGCAATTAGTCGTCATATATAGGAACACTAACCAGCCACGTTTCAAAAGAGCCGTAGCGCGTCCCGTGTATAGCTGCGGATCGCCTGGCCATCGCTGGATATAGTCATTGTAGGCTCGTACAGCCGACACGAATGCTTTGGCTTTTACCAGGATGGCCGCTTGAAGCGACGCTTTTTCAAGACTGACGCATGGTGTGCACAATGGGCAATGTTGTGTTGTTGGGGTATACCGACAACGACCTGGTTGGGAAGGTAGGGATAGAAAAACATGCGGATGGAGCGGTATGTAAACGCGTCCAAGAGTTACATTCAGGTACTCGTATATGCAAATCCACCGGCGCAGTAATACAACCAATTCGTAAAACAAAATAGTACGGCATTCTTCTTTGCAAGAAAGAACCTAAGGAATCACTGAAGCTCCTTAATTGGAGGTACGGATTGTTGGGAGATTAAACTTCGTATAACATATATGCTCAAAAAAGTGACTTCCCGATAAACAGAAGGATTATGGTGTATTTTATTGCTTTCAGACAAAAAAAGATTATCTTTCATGGAACAACCGGGTCGTGCTGGTGTGATCCATTTTACCTTCGAGGTGAATTCGCGTCAGAGAATATAGTGGGGTTAGCATACACCTAAGTGGGTGAGTATTTCCGGACACTAGGACAAGACCTACTGCTTGTGAAACTGTCGAAGGCCCCCCCTTCTTCTTCTTCCGGTTCCGATTGGTTCGCAAAATTTCCGCGGTCAGCATTATCGTTTAGAAGTTCATTTAAAAATTGATTCGCTTCCAATTTCTTTCTTTTCTATTTCCACCTATGCGTCAACGATGTGACATTGACACCGTGTTGACGATAGCAGTGCTGAGAAATTCTCCTCTGAGTTATTTGCGGCGGTATCTTAAAAACCAATGGGGAGAGTTTCAATCCTACAACACTCAAAACAAGGCAAAATTATGCGACCTCGACAATCCACGCCAGGTTACCGAAGCCACCTTATTCATGAAAAAAGTCCAAGGAGCGATTTCATGAGCATCCATGAGGTACAACAGATATCTTAGCAAATGCTTGTTGTGCTCCCGCTTGGCATTCTTAGTGATACCAACATCGAGCACCCGGAGGATAGAAATACTAGTTATAAACGACTACGATGGTCGGAATGTGTCCCACAGTTGTCGAACAACACAAGTATTCTACACTTTGTTTGAAGTGCATTGTTTCACCGTCTAAATCGGTGTTCAAAAACATTTTGCTAGAGATTCACGCATGGGCCACCACATAAGGAGGATACGAATATAGCTGGTTGCAAAGAAGTAGGTCTATGCAAAAAAATAAAACAGTCGAAAATGCCCATGGGGAAACGCCGAAGTCGAACGAATGCGGGTTTCAGAGTTCTGCCGGGAAGATGCATCGTGACACGGTCCCGCATCGCAGCATATAGGGTGGAAAAAGTCGGGAACAGTCAAGGAATAAGTACGCGCCACAACCCGATTAGAAGACCCCAGGGGCAAGCATGACACGCATTCACAATGAGGAACGCAACAAACATGCCAAAATTGATCGCTACGTGGGTAGGAATCTAAATCGTCAGGTCGTTTGCTTTCGGACTGCGGTCAATGGCCGACTTGGCAATCACCCTTCTAGATACCTAGTTCCGGTCATTTAGTCGTTACGTTCAGCTCCATAGGCCACACCTAAAGCTTGTTCTCGCAGCAACGTGGCTGATCGTTACTCGCTTGGGTCGACTGAGCCCAATTTTTCGACCCCAAATTCAAACGTTTCTCGGGTATCTTTACTCTAATCAGTCTGTCAGGAGAGGAGACAAGATTTCTAATTGAGAGAGGAAAAACGAAAGACGACGGTTTCGTCAAGGATAATGTTATCTGCTGATTCGCCGGCCTCTGGTATCTGCTGCTGACCCGCTCCAGTGCCTAGTGTCGGAGAGAAAAAGACTCACGGAAGGGAACACAATAGCTATATTCCAACAAAGTGGGTGCGAGAGCGTGAGTGCGAAAAGTACAACGGCCTCAAGCTCTTTATTGGAAAGACACTGTCTGAACTTGGTCCAATGCTGACGCACGCGGTCTGGCTGCGGCGTGCTGCATATTGCGGGGGCCTTGTCTGACCTTGATCAACGCTGACTCGCGCTGTCTGGGTTTGATACAAGGCTGTGACGCGCTGCATATTGAGGGAACGTTGTCTATCTGGTTAACATTTAGCGGACCTGAGAGTCTCGGTAGATTTCGGGCATTTAGTGGTTGCTTTCAGGAAGCTGACCTTCCTGATAGATAAACAGGTCTTTAGTGCGCTAAGCAGAACGTACATCTCCAGTACGGTTCTGTCAGTCATCGACAAATGCTACAGAATTACTGACCGCAGTCCCATCCAACTTTAACCGTCAGATCTCTCGACTTTGTTGGGATATGCGCTATCAGCTAGATCCGGAGCTGTTTTTTCACTCATTCGCAGNCGCAGTCACAGGAATGCCCTCCCTGTGGTCTATCTCTTCCTCTTAGAGAGGATACACAATTTCTCGTGTGAACCACTTCTCATAGGCGTTTGAAATTTCATTCCGCTGTTAGATGGTTAGCACTTTTTGTGGGGTTTACCATGTTTGGTAACGATTTACCTGCTGCTCTTTCCACTATACTCGGGCACGCAAACCTCAAGTTCTCGGGAAATGAGATACACTTATCCGCTGGAGCCATCAACGAAGACATTCCGCGATAGATACACTGGATAACTGGATGAAGAGCAGAGTTCTCACAGGTATCCGTTTGGCCATTCATTGAGAGTCGGTTTGTGAGGGCAATAATAAACAACAAACATCGACGCGAGGGGTATCAATTAATCAGTTCGCTGATCAGAAAAGCTCGGTTGACTCATTGATATTCCCTCAAGGAGAAACATGCATTCGATGAGGCAAGAGAAATACGACCCAGTAAAAACAAAAACAGACACGAAATCGTCTTTCACATCTGGTGATTTGATAGCCGAACGAATAATGCAGGTCAGCAAAGGCCTAACATCATAGTAAGGAATAATGTAGCAATGAAGCGAAAGTGACTCGTCTTAAAAAATATTTCCTACAAGGAGGAGCACAGTATTCATACTAAGTGGATGTAACCATTGGACATACCGGAATCATCAGAGACTACGTTGACAGTAGTGGTCAGGCGACGTTCCGAACCGGAGGCAGACCACACAAGACCATCTGTTGGCGATCTCATCTGTCGAGCATAGTTGCATTTGTATGGTTGTTTGGATTTGTTCAGGTTGAATAAATAAATGTGATCTCCGCTCATATTGGCCAGCAACTCCGTTCCATCTGGACTGAAGCTGACACAGGTTACATTAACATGTCGAAAGCAGCGACGATATGAGACCTCCTTGGAAGGCAAATGCCCTAGGAACAGAAAGTACAAACCTTGCCGCATAGAATAGGAGCCGTTTGTAGCAAGAATAATCGCTTAACCGTAGGACCTCTACCTGAATAACCTCGGATCACTCACATGGTAGAAAACGGATGAGTGAAGTGGAAGAAATCCTCGTTTCAATAAGAAAACAAAAAGTTCTCATCTAGAAGATTCATACAACAGAAACCTCTCTGAGACCTCACCTCCGAGGAGGTAAAACCAAGGGGATAACAGTTCGAGTGTTCTCTGACTGACCTACCATCACGTAGAGGATGCTTAGCTCATGGATAACGTGGAGGCATCGAATCTCTAGGAAGACTCGTTCGGGAGAAGATCTGTGTTCAGTTTTTGGAACTAAGATGCAGATTAGTGTTTTGCTTCCCTGTTCAATGGTCTGTAACCGGTCAGTTGGCATTTCTGAATAAATAACTCCACAGCAAGGGCCTTCTTCCTTTCACCGGTTGTGATGGCATGGACAAATGGTGTAGCATAAGACTGCTTTAAAACAAGAGGCCTTAGCCATTTTAAGAGGTAACTAGAGCAATTTACTCGACTGAGATACCGGTCACATACACACATGATTGACAAGCAAAGACGACATAAGACATTATTTCTGGGATAACTGAATTGAGCATGTGCTTCAAAGTGCATTTGCGGGAGCTGAAACAATTCTGAAGGCCATCTCAACGATTTTCGATTCTCCGGTATGTTAGCTCAGAGGGGGACTGCGATATACATATTGCTTTATCTTTCGGAAGGCACATTAGGCTGATGTGCATCCCCCCGAGGGTAAAAAAAATCCTACCAACCCAACAAATGAGTTAAAGATTTTACCCTTAGATTTCACTCGTCCTCATGCACAATAATCTTACGAACTGTCGTATATGGGACGATGGAGGTGGACCCTGCAGCTTGTAGAGGTCAATCATCAGATCACGCGTCCCAAATACCCAAACCACGTGACAATTTCTGTCCCACTTGCAACCTTAGCCGATAACATGTACAGTAAAACTTCTCAACTATTTTTGTTTACGAGGCTACCACTTGCGTCACTCGCCAGGATCATGCACTTCATTCAACACATCAGGTCAAGTTGTATCCACATTCGTGCAGGCATCAAACACGAAGAGACACCTATCTCTTAATACTGCATACAATAAATAGGCATACAACTCAACCCAACACACAGACTCGCGCGCGCGCAGGGAGCAGGGAGTCAACCACTCTCCACAAGTCCACGGACAACTATGGAATATGTGTAGCAGCCGAACTGCGGAGAAAACACGGACTTTCACCAAGGAACTCTCACAGACGACAAGTTCCTCTTTTGACTTGCTCTCATTTTGCATTGTATTCATTTTTATACGTGTGGCATCTCACCATTGTCAACTATACTAGAAACCTTGATTAGTGCATATACCTTCGATTTGTGTTATGGCCATCATCCGTTCGAAATCCGAGCTTCGCTGCTGGGTTGAATAAATGAACCGTGAATACGCCTAGTATATGTTATGTCAATCCTTGTTCTTCCTCGGCCTTCAGGTCGCAAGTATAACAATAAATAAATAACACCCTTCTGGTGCTTATCTGTCATCCCACCCAAAGAAAACACGAGGGATGAGGTATTGCCAGGTCGCCCAAGCCTATATGGGCGCACTCAAGAGGTTGGGTTCGAACCGCGGACCATCCGAGCAGTGGATTCGCGTTTCAGTTACTAGGTCATCTCTTGCAGGCCGTATGCAGTTACGCGGCAAGAAGAGAGAGAACACAGTAATCCGCGTTGGAATCATCAAATGAAATGCGAGTTGGACCTAGCTTGGTATGCACCAAGGTTCGCAATCTAAATAAAGGCAAACGTCTGGTGTGAGAACACATCGGTTGGCTAGCAGTAATGCAATCACGTAAGGTTCACAGCCAAATATCCACCGCAAGCTTTCAACTTATCTCCATGCGTTACTCAGCCAATATGCTATTGCTTTGGTTAGATATATGTTCGAATTGATGCACGGAGATGCAGTCCACTTTCATGCGCATTTCGATGATCATTCTTTATACCTTACTGATTTGAGTTTCAATAACAATGAAAATACTGCCCGAAAAACAGATGTCCTGGCGTGAATTTGCGAAATGTAATTTCCGAACTGAGATAATCACGCAGCAATTCCAAGTGTATGACCACATCATTCGAGCCCATACATTCGTTACGCTGGTGTGGTTAACCACATCTGGAGCCGAGTGTGAACCGTGAGTACAACTCAGTCTTGTAACCGACAACTGGTGGCTGGGCGAATACATCAAAACAGGATGCACCGGATAGTGCCCAATGAAGTTCGCTTAAGGAAATACTCCACGATCATGTTTTAAGAGTCCACTCCGTTTTAGTATGTTCGACTCCGAGTATGGATTCAGTACCTCTTAAAATGAAGTATCGAATGTCAACGGTTGACAGCTTCATATAATGGTACAGTGTAATCACCAGCATAATTTTCTGATTTTCTAAAATCCGATGCAGTACAACACACTATGACGGTCCAATCGAAACAATTGTGCTAACACTGAAAAAGACGGGTCGGGTCGAGCTCTGGTTTGATACCGTAATCTCTTGAGTGACAGCTCGTACATTCCTAATAATAAAAAATACATTCCTACCGATTTCAGATCAGGTTAGATCTCCTAAGTAACAGTCACCGTTCTGGGGCATGGTCCAAAGAAAGCAGTAGTACGAATCACATAGTACAACAGTTTTAATGACCGACTACAATTAATGTAAACTGTAAACTACTAAGGCCTAGAACTGCAACATAAGGGTGATGAGGCGGTCATCCGGTAACAAACGTAAACATAAGAAAGAACATCGAGGATTTCCATCCATCTCCTTCCGAAAGCCCTGACACTATCTATGATTCCGGAATCGGTGATCCAAACTTAACTCTGGCCTTCCTCTCACTACCGTCTAGGCGCCATCCCAACCTTCATACCTACTTCGATATGCACGGTTGCTGCGTACCGCAAAGATGCTGCGAATGAACCATTATTTCATTTTTAATTTGATGTGCTCATATGACTGCCTAAATAGACAACCGTACATCTCTGAAGGCCTTCCAGTGAATGGACGTGAGGATAAGATGACTTGCAGATAAGCATGAAAGCCGGACCGACCAATATTATGACAACGACAAAATAGAGCATACCAGGAATGAAATATGCGTTGAAGCGGTAGATAAGCTCCCTGTGGCTGTCTCCTGGCAACAGACTTCCAAATAAAGTTAGCATTTTTTTGATGAGCCGTGGAATTCAACGAAGAAAGCGGAAACTGACAAATACTCTAATTTGCACATTAATTTCGTTTAAACACGAGACTCAAGGAAATGCAGGTAAATCACTATTTTATGATGGCCTGCTTTGATCTAATTTGGGTTCGAGTAGAACATAAGGTTGACGGAAACGCTAGGAACGCGCCTACCTGATGGGCCCCAAGAAAAGAACGAACGTTCATGGGCTGCCGAAGTTTTCAGCAACCTTATGAGCAACGCGTTACATCTGCACAAAAACAGAAACCGGTTAGCTAAGTGGACTAGAAGACCCAGCAGTTGAGAATGTTGTTAGCTGCAGTGGGCGAGACGGCCCAAGTGGTTAGAGCGCGAATTTACTGACCGGAAGGTCCGTGGTTCGAATCCGACCTCCGCCACTCGACTTCCTCTGTCCAGGCTTGGGCAACCTGGCAGTATCCCAGCCCTCGTGCTTCCTTCGGGTGGTATGGCAGCTAGGCACCGGAAGGGTGCTACAGCTGAACGCTTTCTTTCTTTCTAGTTGCAGTGGAGATCATATCATCAATACCGTCATTACTAGTGACAACAGCATCATAAACTATCTTGTTTGACCTAGCTGGTGATATCCGTAATCTCTTCTGTTGAGAGGAAGCAACGTGAGGTTCCGGTAGGGACCGACCTAATTCAAATTGAGTTCGGACATAAAGTATGCAGAATTGCCACTTGATTGGAAGCCTGATATCAAAACCGAAGTAAAACTCATGCAGGAACCGAATCAAAATGTAATTCGAGTCGAGGCAAAAAGTAAATTCGACACTGAAGTCGAAGTGATGATGTAGTAGGAGAGAGTAGTCAGTGTGTTTTGAAGATCGAACCTCAGAGGGGACATAGAAAAGCCTGCAGCGAAGAAAAAAACTTGTTGAAGCGAAGGTAACGAATTCCTTTGGTTTCAATTTTCTAACCATACATAAATAGAATAAGCCGGGAGAAAAGCAACTTAGGCAAATGATCATATTACGGATTATTTTGGTCACAAAGTCGCTAAAAGTCCCGATTTAAGGAAGACCACATCTGCAACAGATCATTACAACGGCATGAGGATCTGCAACAGTTTTCATCCAATGGGCGAGATGGCCCAAGTAGTTAGAGTGCGAATTTACTGACCGAGAGGTCCGTTGTTCGAACACGACCTCTGTCTCTCGACTTCCCCTGTCTAGGCTTGGGCAACCTGACAGTATCTCAGCCCTCGTGCAACCTTAGGGTGGCATGGCAGTTAGACACCGGAAGGGTGTTGCACCTGAACAATCATCCAATGACGAACGTTAATAAAGGGGTTATCCGTATCTGACCTAGTAACAACTCAGTGCTGATCGCATATGAGTTGCACTCCGATCTGAGTTGAGCCATGCCCCCGAAACAAATCCAGAATCCGCGTCCACATGATGCAGATGCACAACCACAGCAATTTCCCGCTTTAGTAGTCCCTGCCCACGCACGAAACCTCCGTTAGCGGAGTAACTGATACTGAACATTAAGCGGCAAACGAGTATCAAGTGATGGCATATTTTTAGTGCCGTGTACGTGCTGTGATGACAGAGGCAACAAGGGCTTTCATGAAGTGTCATACGAGGTATATTCGTACAAATCTACTGGCGTAGCATGCCGATGACGACTACCTCAAAAATTAGCGGTGAAGACGAAGTAAACCTTTTAGCCTGAGGTTGTACTACTGCGACAACAACCGCTGCGATTCAGTGCGTAAGAATGATGGCGTCCAACCTATTTTTGCGAAATGAAATGGCGTCACATGACCGAATACCGAAGTAAACGGCTATGGACACATTGCCTAGTGTTTTACTCCTGGTCATGAAAGCCAAATCCCTGTTAGGGAGGTCGAATTCAGTCAGTCTTGCGATTCTTCTGTCTAAAGAGAAATCGCTGTGCCTGGCTTTCAGAAGGACAAATCGGAACGGTTGGATATTTTGTTGACGCCGTAAACGGCACCGTCATAAGCTCACGGAAAAACGATACGCTCCGAGTATGACTAGCTACCTGTAAAAGACAGAGTTTAACAAATAAATACGAAATGGGAGAATGACATATAACAAATAGCTGACACTCCGTTAGGCTATGTCAACTGCTTAAAAGGCAGGGAATTAAAAATTAAATGTTCATTGTTAAGGAAAGTGGCACAGTTATGAGGCATCAAAGCGGATATCGCTGACACCACCTGAAAAAAGTTAAAAAGCTTACCAGGAACAAAATAGCGGACACTGTCGAAATGCACTTCAACCATTTCATTCACCTCCTCAGTCGCACTCTGTTGGAAACGACTAGAAAATGAAATAAGCTAGAATGAGTGACTGACAGTGTCAGTTGATATTTCGGCTCACAGCCAGCATAACAAGTGATTTCAACACCTGCAAAATAGTCCGCCAGTTGTGAGTGTGATACGAAACGGAAAATCCTTACATTAAACGGTGGAACTCAAATAACAGAGACTGTGTCTCCGACGCAAAGCAACCCCCTTTTTCTTACCAACTGCTGGAAGCTCGTGTCCAGTGACGTTTCTCGTCCACATAGTGTCGTCCAAAACACCAGATTCGTTTCATCTGTATTAAAAGCTAGATGGGATGCAGTCACCCTTCTAGGAAACCTACTGTTTTGGCGGATGGTTCATTCGCCTTTCGGTATGACATGACCACAAATGTAATGACGGGACTTGAATCTAGCGAGTCGGCTGCTGATGCATGTGAAATCGGTACATCCCACTTCATGTTCTAACCACACCGGATTTAGAAATGTCCGGGAAGTGCAGTTTAGAATTAGCATGGGGTTGCACTGTCGTTGACATGGGTACTCAGGGATCATCTGCAGGCTTCGCGAACATACCTTTCTGCACCTAATCTCAAACTATGACAATCTCTGTATCGCACCGAAGCCCAATTTCCTAAGGTGAATGACTTCATCCTTACTAGAACAAAATATGGATCTGGGAGCCAGTGATCCATAACCGCTTTGCAACGTCCCGTACTAATGAATTATTTGTATTCATTCGAATAGCTTTCCATCCGAAAAAAAGGTAGATTTGTGTCTCCGTTTCATTGCTCTCAATCACCTACAAGTTCGGTGACTGGTCGAGTTGGGGGTGGTCGTTACTCTATCCATCGACAGGGTTGTTGGCTAACTTTATCGCGTTGCAAGTACCCCAGTAACTAAGCATTCAAAACTGAGGAGAACGTACAATTAGTTACATGGTTTTTCTAGAGGGAACTTCCTGACATTTTTAGTCGCCCATTTGCTCTGAATTCTGAGATAGTACCTTCTCTTGCTCCGCCCCACCGACCCCACCGAATCACATGTGGATCAACGTCAACCGTAAGATGCGGGTTTGAAAAAGTTGATGTACTGAAAACAATACATCTACTGTCACGGTGTCCTATGTAGCATAAGACCCACTCCAGGCATTCTTCCCAATCGTTCCACTCTGAGTATCTCTCCTAGTCTATCCATCCCCGTTTCTCCTTACCCTTCGGTTCTCTCTCTCTTAATTCCGCTGCTCTCAACACACTGGACGAACATGTTCCAGTACCACTCACGTTTATGAACTACGCGGCAGAATTTCAGGGTACAAAAGCATCGCTGCTGCGTCAACTGCTTAAATAATTCTGTGGTGGACGAAATCGATGTGCAGAGGTGTGTCACTGGTATAATAAATGGGATATTGTCCGCAGTGGTTTTATTCTCAACCGACCACGCACTCGGATTTGCCTGAACCCGGACTATCCGAAACTACCTATTTTAGAGGCACTTTAAATTATGTACATCGTCAATTTTCCTTTCATGAGGTGGGTGTAATGTGCGAGTTCATCCTTCATTAGATTAGCAGCAAAAACCAGAGAGATAGTAGAGCTGACTGTCCATAAAGCAGAACAGGATCAACACCAGATGGTACATGAGTGGAGGAGCTCATTAAATCAGACGGGCGAACATTTGTATGCCATTGAGGCGTTCGGAACGGGAGTGGCTTTATTGTGATCATCACTGGAATAAGGGTCGTACATTTCGAGTCATACTGTGTTCAGTTTCATTTGACTTGATGTGGACACTTCATTGACCATTGAATGTACGCGTCCTGCTCAACAAATCGAGTAGGCACACAAACATTTCGTAGAGGCACCTAATTTCCCTATCTACCAGTGGGTTTTACTGAAATAATGAAAGTGAACCGAGGCTGAAATAATCAACAAGCCACTTTCAGCCCAAAGACGACAAATTTCAGAGTGGGTATACCAGGAGGTAGAAATAGGTAATTTTGTGAGCTTGCTCAATTTGACGCAGTGGATCCCAAAACTACACTTATAATTCGACAACACAAAACCCCGAACAGTAAAAGCACATAACTGTGAGGAATAATGCGAACCGAGATAGGTGGATTGAATTTTTCAAACCCGGAGTCGAAACTGTCCTGAAACGAAGGGTCCGACTATGTCCTACGGATAAATCGAACTAAGCACAATGATTGGTATCCATTTTATGGGTCCAATCACACTTTGGAGGATATCATGAAGAGTGATGTGAGTGGGACAATGTTGGAGCGGATTTCAGTCAGCCAAATTCCAAAATAACTCGAATATAATGTAAGGGTCGAAACAAACCTTAAAAGTGAAGCCTCGTAGATTGGCTTTGGACTGCAAACAGCCACACGCAAACGCACTTAGCACGCTTCGACTCAGCTGACGACGGCTATTCTCACGACAGAGTGGATCGGTTTAAAGGGTGCTTATTGTTCACCCTGTGGTCCATTTCGTCATTCTGTTTTCATAATGCAACATTCAACCGACGTACTAACAACCCGATCAAAATGGATAAAAGGAGACCATTAGGCAAAACGCGGTAGTCCTATGAGGTTTTCTTACATCGGTTACTGTCTCTCGACCAATTAAAAAAAGTATCCCTAGTTCTTATAGGAAGTCTAGCAATAAATCCACAGAGAAATCGGGGGTGTCAGTACACACGGTGGTCCTTTGTGACGGACAGGTTTTGTTGTAAATGCCATGATGAATGAGGACAAGGACGTACCGTTGTTCACGCAACCGCATAGGCTGGCCAACTGAAGTTAGTGTGATCTTCCTCCTGTCGTAAAGACGCACGTACGGATCATTACTGCCCACCGCCAACATATCCGGTCGAAGGGGATTCAATGCTAAGCATTTGGCTTCAGCGAAAGAACCAATGTGGTGATGTAAGTTGACCAGTACGTTGCATGGTTTTGCGGAACTCGCCTGAAGGCAGAGGGCGAACAAATCGAAATTAGGGATTCTATTTACTGTATACGGAAAGCAAATCTAAAGAGAATGACGAATAGCGCAGTGCTGATCACTGATACGAAATAGCTGTTGTCGAGAGCTGTAATGAATGCAACATCGATCTTTTGCTTCCGCACTACAGCGGATATCGTACGAGCAACGCACACTATGAACATCAGCACTTAGAATATCTATAATCATCGCCGTTGGTTGGACGATAGACCAACTTAGCCGGCTTAGTTTCAGTAGTAGCAGAGCCGAGTAAAACAAAGTAAATCGCACAAGAGCACTTATTCTTTAACGAAGGATGATCAAAAGGTGGTACAACAAGATGACGCAAGAAAAGAAGGAAGGAAAAAGCAAAAAGATTTTGAGACACTAAGCTGGAACTATCAGCTATACAACAGGAGTGAGCTTTCGCAGCAATTGACAGAAGGCATCTGCTCGTGCAATCATCGAGTCCCAGATGCTTTGTCCTATGAAGAAACGTCACTAAGATCATACTTCCGAAAACATAACAACATAAACTCACGCATTTAGATAAGCAAGACTATCTGAAAATTATCGTGACACGGGTTAGATTGTCCTTCAAGACCTTTTGGTAGATGTGGATTTTTTGGGACAACAAATAATAAAGCATCTCAGGAGAGAACCTTGAAAGCCAGTAAAACGCCGACATTTTTCTAAGATTTGTATTTATGTTGAGAGCTCCCGCCTCGAAGTCGAAGGCGCCTTGTTATTACAAAGGTTAAGAGAGTTCTTGTGCTTCCTTAAGGCTATATGCACTTCCGTCAACGACAAGCTGAACGATTCTATTCACTTTCATCGAAAAAAAATACGGTTAGAGGGTAGTGGTTAACGGAGTGATTAGTATAAGCATCGTTAAGCTCTGGAAGCAGTTCTTGTCAGTGGCCGACCTATTTTTTGAAAAATACGAAAATACGAAATATCGCCTTGATGACTAGCCTTAAAACTGGTAGTAGTTGAGATTCCAAGTTCCAAGCTAAATCTTAAAAAACGTTTCTTTCCTAGCTCTTCAGATAGACAGATGTATTTAATAAGCAGGATACTGTTAGGCAAGCTGAGGTACAACTAAATTTACACTGCACAAGCTCACAAGCATTCTTAAGTAGTGAGGTTCAATACCCTATTCAAACATACCTGGGTTGGGTCTCGAAGATCAAACTGTCGAACAGTGCCATCTTCCGCCGCGGACCAAAACAGAAAGGGTTCTGAAGGTGTATTGGCGAGACGCTTGATTCGACCCGAGTGACATGAAAACACGTGACGTGTCTCCATACGAGTGATATCGTGCACATGTATCTTTGCATCTGCCGCACCTGTCACAACGAGGTACTCCTGAAGACAGATAAGATTGTCAATAAAATGGCAAAAAAAACTTGCGTTTAAGTTTGGAATGAATTTGACAGAGAAAATATTGCCCACATGACCGGTGTTCATCGTAAATACGCTTCTGTGATCGAACGGGTCCCATAAGATGAGACAACAATCATCTGAGCCACTGGCCAAAAGGGTTCCCCGTTCGTTCCACTCGAGACAATTCACACAACCCTGATGACCCTGGAGACTTGTTTCTAAACCCAATCGGCCGATTAGGTGAGAATTCACATGATTGGTTCGGATGTATTGGATTGGAGTTATAATCTGCGAGGGACAAATAAAAACAGGTAGAATCAAGTCAAAAAACGGTGCACAGAACTTGGAACAAGGGTATATTGAGAAAACAGATAAACAAAAGTACATGAGCGTTCTTACCCTGAGAATATGAATATGATACACACAACTATGCTAAACCAATCTGAATACATTAGGTGACTATCGCTATCACCAGTTTGGAACCAACAAACAAGATAATCTGAAGCCCAAAAATCAATGAGACTTGTAGCTCCAACATGATTTACGTTGGTACGCAATCACATCTTGGGGCCTCCAACAGGTACTAGAATATAGTATGTTGAGAGACAGCATCCATTATCTCACTAACTGCCATTGTGTCGGTTAATAGCGTCCACAACTTTCATTACGTCACACTCAAAGACACCAGAAATACGGCTGCCCAAGACTTAGTATGTCGACATAAGGTCGGAGCACAGTCAATGGTACTAGGTTTGGTTCTTGGATATATCCAGTCACGCAACTCATCAAAGTTATTGTCATAATCGTCGTTACTATCGACTGCATATTAGTGCTAATCGACGATGCTTCACTACCACGCAATCAAAATTCATTTTAAAAAGGATGAGGGAAAAGACCTAGTGCTAGTCCGCTACGTGCGTTCCGATGTGCTGACACTTCCAGACACCCACTCTGACAATTTGGATAGAGAATGATAACACAAACACCCATATAGTCTACCAGAAGTGATGTTTCACAACGTCTGTGGTGACGAATAGGGGAGGGCACGTAGACTCCCCACCGAATTGCGGGGACACCGACAACCCTCTGCCAGTCCAGGATTTGGCCACTTCTCTGAAGGCGCTACTCTAAATTGGGTAAAGTAAACGGTAACCCATTCGGCGTACTACGACTCAGCATTGAGAGTGCATGACATCATTATCATCAGCATGACGCCAGTATTCAACACCGATGTTTCGCTGCCGTACAACTATGATTTATTTGAAAGCCTCATTGTGAAGAATAAAACAAGGACGAGGAAAGGATTTAGTGCTAGATTACTTGAATCATGCCGAGGTGCACACATCTCAGCACCCACTCAGTCAATATGGATATAAACTGACAAGAATGCCATATCTTGCAGCGAATCCAACGAATCGCACTGAGGGTCACGCGGTCCCCACCCTGGAAAGCGACCAACACCGACAGCACCTAAAGGTTTCGTAATATCTTTCATATCCCTCTGTCAAGTAAAGGGTTGGTCAACTCTCTGTTTACGTACTCTGAGTTGGGCATGGAAAACAGCACTATCTTCGGCAAAATATGACTAGGCATACGCAACACATAGCCCAACCAACGCAGCTTCTGGTGCTGGACGCATTCTTAAATGAAAGTACCCGTTGCGCAACCGAAAACGCGCTTCCTAACTGCCTCATTACGTTTTCACCGACGCCAAACCACACGAGCTATGGTTCTGAGCCAACGATTGTCAAACACCTGAAGACGTCTCAGTTCCGCTGCTTGAATAGGCCAAGTCTCACAGTCATACAACAAAACAGCCCGTACTGTAGCTTGATATACACGTCCCTTCAGATTCAGGGATAAACCATTCTGACGCCATAGGTGTCTCAAATTAGCAAACGCGGCCGGAGCCTTGCAGATTCGTGCATTCACCTCATCTGTCATACTACAATAAGAACTAATACAACTTCCAAGATACGTAAAACGCTCCACAACTTCCAGTACCTCTCCCTGGATTGTAAGCGGCGTGTTCAGTGACTGCACGTCCACAAGCATGACCTTACACTTTGTAGGTGCACAGTGGATAGCAAAGGACAGTTCATCCAAGAATACTTGAGCCTTCTCCTCCTCTTCGACATGAAAACGATGTCGTCTGCATATTCCAGATCGACAAGGTTTTCTTCGCAGGCTATTTGAAAACCAGGATTTTGGATACCCTCCGGTGTTTGCCTCATTATTTCATCGATCACGAGGTTAGGAAGGAATGAAGAGAGTGGGCATCCCTGACGGACACCGCTTCGTATACGGAAGCTTTTGGAGAGCTCTCCGTATACTCTTACACGCCCGGAAGTCTGGGAATACAAAGAACGAATTGTTTGCAAACTTCCGAAACATTCCCTGGTGGGCAAGCGTGCCGATAAGAACTAACCAGTTAACCAGGTCGAATGCGCCTCGGAAATCCAGGAATACTAGAATTGCGGGCCACTTATACGTATGTCTTTTTTCTACCACCTGATGAAGTGTGAAGATTTGGTCAACGCAACCCCTACTAGGATGGAATCCCACTTGCTACTCTCGGGTCAGTATCTCACGAGCCACCGTAAGGCGACAAAGCATAATTGACGCCAACAGTCTGTCATGACTACAGTCTTGACTCACAGTCTTTTTGTAATAACCATGCTTTCATTTTCAGTTTAAGCTTATGTACGTCAATTCTTAGATAAGTAAAGCGCTATTCATTCTACGCTATGCACTCTTGTTCTCGCGCTCAACCAGGATCGATATTCTATTCATAACACAGTATCGTTACGACCGGGGTCAAGCTGACCCCCCTGTAGCTACCACACTCACTATGCGCCCCCTTTTTGAAAATGGGCACTACCACTGACTCTCCCCAGTTGTTTGGGACAGACTCCTTTTCCCAAATGCGAGTAAACAAATCAGATAAGCGTTGACTGAGGACTTCACCCCCGTCTCTGAACAATGCGGGTGGAAGGTCATCCGGACCAGGAGCTCGGTGACGCTTGAGGAAACGTATGCAGTCGTAAACCTCCAATGCAGTAGGGGGAGGGATCCAGGGCGTTCACCGTCCAGGATTCTAATTCACCCGTGGGCTCTGGACGAGTGCCAGCTGATGGCCACGACAGTCGTTGTTCGAAGTATTCAGTCCATCGATCGAGGTGTTCTTTATTCGAGATGGTCGTTCGATTCTGATGCTTGATGGTTTCGCTCAGAGGTGGTTTCCGGGGACCAGTCGCACTAAGTTCTGCGCTTGAGGTACCATTAGATTGTGTTTTGCGCCATTTTGGTAAGCAGCGCCGACATTATATTTCCCCATCTTTTAGGCCAATTTGATAGAAGCTGAAGGCACCAACGAAGGCTACGCGAGTGATGAGAGTCTTCAGATTCCGACTGCATATCGTTCTCCGGTCTCCAGCTTAGTTGACTAGCTTGTGGCACGTAACGGGGAAGCAATGAATTAGAATTCGGATAATTTCTTCCAACTCCTGAGCTTTCTTGAGATACGGCTGTTCCATGAGGCCCGCTGAAACTTCCAGAGCCAAATATCTTCATTCGTCACACGGTCCCCCCCCCAAATTAGGGCCAAGGAGCACAGGTAGCGAATCCGTCTAGAGTGCTTGAAGTGGTTGGAATGAGTTACACTATTTGTTGAAGTGTTCTGTTTAACTCTGCACTATTCAGATTAGTTTAGAGTTGGTCGTTCTTCTTGATTTAGGTTTCATCGACCGATTTTTACCTTGATCCAGGCTCCAAACTGGACCGTTTTCCAATGCTACCTGAAGCGGCTGCTGTAGTGATCGCTGTCGACCGGGGTGTGTCGACGGGTTGAAGAGGATTTAAATGAGCAAGAAAGGCATCTCCCAGTGGTTGCCTATACCAAAACCACAGTGAATGACAGATGTAAGACTAGAACTCAGAAGCAATCTTGGAAGAAGTCACCGAAAATGAAGATAACGAGCCAACGAATCTCCGTAATTGGTGAGTTCCAGAGCCAGATGGCATCGATCCGCCGGTTGTTTAAGTTGTCTTTTGAAATACACCACAATCGCTGAGCACATGAGGGCCCGGCCGGAGTCAAAATATATATCGCAGTATAGTTGGTAGTCTTGGATGTAGCATCGATGTGCGGTCAATTGGTGTCTGAGGTTGTAAGGAGGCAGTGGGCTCCAAGTGACACGTCGACGGATGGTGATGCCCAAAAAGGAAGACCACGTTGCCTGTACAGAGCTATTATAGCCACACACTGTCGTTAGGAGGGTGCCTGCAGAATATCGGCCATATAGGCCAGCTTCGACTAACCCTAATAGGCGAAATGGGCATTTACCTATCCGGTGGTCTCCCACGCATCATTACTGCAGTCAGTTAGGACACATGCAGCCACTGAAAAAAGATTCCCCTGGATTTTGATGCTTCGGATCTGGCTTCAAATAGTAAGACACAAAGACTTTCTCCAGGAACCAATCATTATTAGGAATGATGAAGAGATACAGCCATCAACTCGTTCGATTTACCACCAACCTGGCTAGTCACTGCAGTACAATGATCTCCATCAGTAACTGTATCGCCTTGGCATCCATTTTATCAGCAAAGAATACTTTCACTGCATAGTAAACGACAACTAGCAGATACCCAGGAGAGGCAATACTGGTAATGGAAAATGTCACGGAGCGCCCGGATCGATATCGTTCGTGCTGCAATCTATGGTAAACGACAGTGAACTCGATGAGTTCATGTATGTGAAGTTCAACCAGACTGGCTGACTTATCGACACGGGGGTCCAGTCATGCAGTGAGCGATCCTAATAGCATTGTGGATGTCGAATATGTGTTGAAGCCCAGCTTCTACAGTGTAATTTTCTGTCCCTCGCTAGGTCGGTAATATTCAAACCCATCTTCTATTCAACGCCCAGGTATCCCGAGTAATCCACTGCACAAAGCCTGTAGAAACAATCAGGATGTCGTAGTTTATCCCGGTCGAGCTGGCAGATATTCTGAACATAAGAAAAACGTTCCCCTGTAACATTCCCTCGTTCGGTATACTGCTAGTGGTAACCCAAGTGGCAGCACAGCTCTGAGCTACAAACTTGCCTAGTCCTCAATCGGGGTAACCGGGAAGCCAGCGAACGACGGACCTAGCAGTGAGTGGCTTCGAGTCTGTGATTCTGGAGCTAACTGAAGTTTTATTGGACATTACCTCCAGTCAAAACACGCGGCCAATAACCCTTGTTCTCCATAAACTTGATTAAACTCTAACTACTGACGACTAAACAGGAACAATATTTCCACAAGCTACGACTAGTAGTCCCAAACTAAAGTTTGCACCGAGTCGTGAGCTTTTGCGAATTAAACCTGTTTTCTCCACTCGAACCGCGAACCTGTTCAAGCTTACCAGTCTTTTTAAATCTAAAGGTTTCAATTAAAGAGAAAAACAACAGAATTTTCGTCTTAAATAGGTATAAAACTTACACCACGCGTCAGTCTATCTAGCTGATAGAAAAGAGGGTCCCGAGTCATAAGCCGTAGCGAGAAACTTCGAAAGAGGCGCGCGCCCTTCAGGTCACAAGGGGCATGATATTCCCTGATTCACGGTTGATGCGCACCATCCATCGAGGCTTTCGCCCAATTTCTCCGGGCTGTTTTTGTTCTTGTTGTTCGCTGACTGTCGTTCATTTGGAAGGCACGAGTTTTAAAAGGGTGTAGCTTTTCACCTTAAGTTCTCGGCGCGGGGCAGCATGCTTGCCAGCGCGGAGACTCGCATGAAGGCGTATTTAATATTGGTTTGAACTGGGCTCTAGATGAGGCGCAGACAACCGTCGGAGGAAGTTTATTCCACACAGCTAATACCCGGAATGAGAAAAGTATTTGCTAAAAGAAAGTGTGCTTTGGGCTTGAAAACCTCCCGACAACCTTCCCGCCGTATGTTTGCTTTGTTAATGGTGAACAATCCGTTGGTCAAGCCTTGTTCAAACAGAGCATAATTGAGAATTAGGTTACCCCGGAGGTGAAGGTACTCCAGGGGATTCCTATATTCACTGCTTGATATACAGGATCGACGCTTTTTCCTGGATCGTGTCGTCCGGTATCTGCTGTTCACCTGAAACATATTAGCGAAAAAATTTGTAGCACTATTCCTTTACCGGTTAGTGCGGGGCAGCAGGTCCGCCAGCGCTAGGTATGAATTAAAAGAAACATCTGAAAGTGTTTTGAACTTGGTAATCGACGTAGCGTGAACAACTGTCGGCCGAGGTAATTTGACGCACCAACTACCCGAAATGAAAAAAATGCAATAAGTCTGAGCGATCTGAACTTTTGAGTCTTCTTACAAAGAGCCCGCATGTAGCAGTAGAGATAACGGTATAAAACCTGTGAGCCTAACATTGTTCAAAGTGCTAGGTTTCCTCGGAGGCGGCGAATCCCCAGGGAAAATAGATCAAGCACTGTTAGATGCATGCACATATACAAGGATGGCAATAGATATACAATGGTGATTGGAATTGAATCACCAAAGATCGTGTCTGCACTTCGATTCCCAACCCAGTTGAAGGGCAGTGAAGAAGTGTGTTTCATATCGTGTGTTACTGCGCGGAAAAGGATAGGCTTGAACGGGTTTCCCAGGTTCCATGGCCTAATTAGGGGCCGTAGGCTTCTCCTCTGAGTTACCACACTCCGCGGTCTATGGCCAAGCTCAAGATGTTGCCGAAAGCTATGAGCGTTTCGGAGTACTGATAANGTAAACGACAGTGAACTCGATGAGTTCATGTATGTGAAGTTCAACCAGACTGGCTGACTTATCGACACGAGGGTCCAGTCATGCAGTGAGCGATCCTAATGGCTTTGTGGATGTCGAATATGTGTTGAAGCCCAGCTTCTACAGTGTAATTTTCTGTCCCTCGCTAGGTCGGTAATATTCACACCCATCTTCTATTCAACGCTCAGGTATCCCGACTAATCCACCGCACAAAGCCTGTAGAAACAATCAGGATGTCGTAGTTTATCTCGGTCGAGCTGGCAGATATTCTGAACACAAGAAAAGCGTTCCCCTGCAACATTCCCTCGTTCGGTATACTGCTAGTGGTAACCCAAGTGGCAGCACAGCTGTGAGCTACAAACTTACCTAGTCCTCAATCGGGGTAACCGGGAAGCCAGCGAACCACGGACCTAGCAGTGAGTGGCTTCGAGTCTGTGATTCTGGAGCTAACTGAAGTTTTATTGGACATTACCTCCAGTCAAAACACGCGGCCAATAACCCTTGTTCTCCATAAACTTGATTAAACTCTAACTACTGACGACTAAACAGGAACAATATTTCCACAAGCTACGCCTAGTAGTCCCAAACTAAAGTTTGCACCGAGTCGTGAGCTTTTGCGAATTAAACCTGTTTTCTCTACTCGAACCGCGAACGTGTTCAAGCTTACCAGTTTTTTTAAATCAAAAGGTTTCAATTAAAGAGAAAAACAACAGAATTTTCGTCTTAAATAGGTATAAAACTTACACCACGCGTCAGTCTATCTAGCTGATGGAAAAGAGGATCCCGAGTCATAAGCCGTAGCGAGAAATTTCGAAAGAGGCGCGCGCCCTTCAGGTCACAAGGGGCATGATATTCCCTGATTCACGGTTGATGC